GGCGAAATGATTGCGGAGGCCACTCTTGCTCTCGAATATGGAGCGTCCAGCGAAGACATCGCCAGAACTTGCCATGCTCACCCCACCCTGGCTGAGGCCTTCAAGGAGGCAGCTATGGCCACCTACTCCAAGCCAATCCACATGTAAGGCCAGTCACAGCGATGCAATGGTGCGAGTGGTGGAAAGCTTTGGCGTCCTGAAACAACGACATTCGAAGCATGTAATTTGTATCACCTGAGGGACAGCGGATAGAAGTTCGAAAAGGTAGTTTGTAGCATAAGCATACGTTTTTACGCCAGCTAGAGGGTTATTATCCAGGACAGGGACTTGTCATTTCATCGAACGCTCTAGGCATACCACACTGTGACCGGGATCCTCCGAACGGGTATGTACGGGCATGGATAGATGGCTCCCTGCTTAGGCATGCCGTCTGATTTATTTACACTGCGCGTTGCCGGCTGTGAGATACGGTCAGCAGTAGTGGAGATACCTTATCCGAAGTCGGTCTCGGTATTTCCATCTGCCTGTGATACTTTCTGTACTGTGATTAGTAAAACAGAAGACCCGAAATAAAGTGGTTGTAACTGGCAGGGCTGGAGACCTTGTATTGGCCTGCGGCTGTCTTCAGTGTCTTCGAGAGATTTCAGATCGTAATCACGGGGTTACTTGGACGCAGGCACGAGCGAATCGATGTTTTGTCATGTTGTAAATTTCCCCGTCCATGTTCAAGCTGTTGGATTTACGCATCTTCGCCCGTGTCTGGCTTTTCTAGCAACGCCTCCGCCATCTTACACGCCTCCTTGACTTTTCTAGTCTCTTTCTTGCCGCCAACAAGGTCTGTAGCCCGGACCTTTTTGCGCAAGAAATAGCCTACGCTCCTCGCGAGGGCTGGCGTCAACCCACTGCCAAAGCATACTCCAAGGGCTTGCTCCAGGCTCTTGCCCTTCACGTGACTGCACTCTTGAAGCACAGTGATGAGCATTACCTCGACGAACAAGCTGGTCTTCTCCCTGACGTAAGCCAGATTGAGTGGTTTGAGAATCCCAAGACTGACAGACCCATCAGCAACCAAGCTTCCCATCATCTTAGCAGTGTTGATGAGACGTCGGTCGTCTACCCCCTCCTCGTCTTCCTCCTCGGCCTCCTCTCCAAACAGAGGCTCACCAAGTCTGCGGAATAGCGTCCACAAGCTATCCTGAAATGCATGCTTGATCCGTGAATCGGTGCAGAACTTTTTGGATACCAATGTGTAGAAAGGATTGTAGTGTTGCTGTGCTCCTGAGCACTGGAGAAGGACATTTGGCACCTCGCGTCTGTTGTATTTGTTGAGTCGTAGCTTGAGAATACGCATGTACGCGTCCCGATAGTCGGCAGCCGCAACTAGCGCGATAAAGATGGCTCGTCGAACATCAGTGTTCATTCCTTGCTCTCGTGCCAATTGCGTGTAATCGTGAGTCGCCAGATCGTCAGCATCTGCAACCACCATATCGTCAACATCTCCTGCGATCGCGCTTCTCTCCTTATCCTTATTTGACGCTCGTGTATCCTGGCCTGCCCAGCTGGCTCCCACCAGCCACCATTTGCCCGTCTTGTCTGCGTTCTCGATATCCTTCAGACCGATGCGAAGGGGCTCTGATGCCTTGAGCTTTTGCGCGTCAAGAGAACCCAGAACCTTTCTCATGCGCGTGACATGCTCACCAAGAATGGCCAGATCCTGTGCGCCAGCCTTGACCTTATTATTCTTGAGGTCACTGATGGTCTCGACCATAAACCTGGTGCGAACCGTCAGGTTGCTCTCCCCAATTTTGGCTACCGCAGGACGAATTAAACTGACGATATCTTTCAGCGCCAACGGATCGTCCTTCCGTAGTTGAGGGCCTGATACGCGAACAATCCGCAGTAAGAGCTCGGCATTCAGTTCCGATAAATCCTCGAGAAGGAGCCGCACAAAGTCGAATATCAGGTTGCTGCCGACGACACGGAACATGTACATCTCCGCAAGCACGGTGAGGAGATTAGATGTCTCCTTCGTCGGTATGCGGTCTTCGTTGACCGCTACTATTGCTTTGTCCCTCTCATCCTGGAAACGCTCCACAGCCGTGGTAAGGAAATGCGCGGCGAAATCGATACCAATGACTTTGTAGAGAGCAGCAACGAAGCCGGCTGACAGGACGAGTAGCGTATCGGGCTTGCTTGTAGGATCGCAAATTTGAGCCATCAGCAAGCCTGTCAAGATATTGTTGGTGTGGCCCCTTGGATTGTCCTGATATATCCTGTCGATCTCACCAACAATGGATACCAAGTTTGCTTCAGTGACCCTGTTGACAGGACCCTGCAGCTTCCTTCGGATCTGAGCCTCAAGATCTGCATCGCCACCTGATCGTGCTCGCAACGACGGAGGGATATACTTGGGAAGCTGCGTGCCAGCTGAGACTGGTGGGAGATATGGGTTCTCTCTGATAGGTTTGGATTCCTGGACAGGCTCCTCATCTTCGGAGTCGAAATCTCCCAGTGAGCCCTGGTCATCAGAGTCGCCCTGATCTTCCATGAAGATTCCATCTTCGTCCTCGTCGTCTTCGTCATTTTCTTCATCTGATACCTCTTCGTCTGTAAACCCCGGCTCATCATCGTCGTCGTCGCTTCCCGTTATAGACCTGATTTTTGCTTGGACCTGGATCGCTTTCCTTCGTTTTGCCGCAAGCCATGCATCGGCCTCGCTCTTGACTCTGTGGCTTCCTTCGTCCGATTCGTTGCCGTCGTTGAGATCGCCAAGCAAATCATCGAGTCCGTCGTCCTTGAAAGCCTTGGGGACGGACTTCCGACCCTTCTTCAATCCTAGTTTACGCTCAAGCTGCTCGATTTCGGCGTCATCTTTGGCCAGCCTTTCCTGCACAGCGCGAGACGGTTGATTCAACACTAAAGGCTTCTCGGAGTCATCGTTGTCGTCTTCGTCTTGGTATTTGCTGATTTGCTCCCGCTTGCGCTTTTTCGGGGCTGGGCTGCGTGGCTCCTCTGGCTCGTCGAGAGGACGTTTGCCATCATTGCCCTTTCCGTGGTTACTGATAGGACCTTGGATCTGTACAAGGTGGTCCCGCGATGTTGTTGTTCTTGTTGTCTGCCGCTGCTTTTTGGACTGCCTGTCGGCTTTCCGTCGATCTTTTCTGTTCTGTCCCTGGCTCTTCCAACGAGGATTAGATCTTGAGGTGGCAGATTGATCCGGCGCACCGATCTGTTTGAGGAGCTGTGTGGGTAAGGCGAGCGGCTTTGGAGGCATATCGTCGGATGGTGAGGTGTAGAAACACGTTCTCAGACTTTGCAATAGCAACGGAACCAGGTCTTGTCGAGAAACTCTTGCGCGAATGCCGACTTCGAGAAACTTTTTAGTGGGGTAAAAGCTCGAAAACGGGTACCTGAGCACCGATTCGCCGACTCACCGATGCGCGGTCACGCCACACCCCTCCGTTTCTTTTAGTGAACTAAGAAGGTAAAGTACTTATATCTTTTGAAATTATCTCACGGCTCTCGACATAGTGTGATGATATCAGCTTAGCATAGCTTATAATATATATAATTAATATATCATAATATACTATAACTATACGCAATTACTTTTCAATCTTTTTTTTAATTATATATTAATTTCAAAGTAATTTATTATATTATAGATGTTTATATTTATATTTCTACTCTATTTCTTTTAAGAACTATGTTGTATATTTGCTTAGTAAATAGAAAACTGTTGCAACTGCTTTTCACTGCTCATGGTCCCAAGTAGGTATGTCACCTTGCATACTGGGTAAGGTAGCTCCAAGTTAACCCCACTGTCCGGGGGGCCCATACACCCTTGCTGACTATCATAGCCTTGCTGCGGGGAATGGCCAAAGCCGCACATGAGCACCCAGCAGCCCGTTTCACCAAACTGGTAGCTTTTGTATACCGACATCCCATCATTCCCGGCGTCTCTGATGGAATAACACACCGTGCAGCTGCATTATTCTACTATCGTAGTGCTTCATCTGGTTGCGCGCGACGCTAGACGCTTCGGTGATAATGTCAGCCCACCTCAGTCACGAAGAGGTATACTTTTTCCTACTTCGCCCCTATCGCATCCGATGTGTCCTTCTATAAGTTAATGGTCTTGCTAACAACTCGACCATAGTTCTTCGGCAAGTTGGCAGAGCTTTTCGAACAACGCAAGAGCAAGGGACGTGGCTCCATATTCCTCGTCCAGAAAAGATGTATGTCCACTACTTCGCGGCCGCACCCGAGATACCCAAAGACTCATCGTCTTCTCTAGTAACCTACGGCCAAGATACGGCCTCGACACCACCAGCCGGCGATGATTCCTTCTCCGACCTCCACCCCGCAAATCCACTCCCTGTGATTGTGCGCGCGACAAACGGCAAGTCGAAGAAACACAGAGACGACAAGATCAAGCTGTCCACAATCGTTCAGCCCGATGCTTTGGAATCCTTCTTCGCCAGCTACGCCAACATCTGCAAGGGGGGTATGTCCGCACTCAAGCCCCGGGATCGGAGTAAGAAGAAGGCCAAGTCCAGAAAGAAGAAGGGAGGTGCAGTCACGGCCGTCGCTGCGGCGTGAGGGAAGGACGGCTTGAGTTGAACTTCCGTTGCGCCACCAATATAGCCAGGTTATATACCGCCATTGTTTGTCCCCCGAAAAGGCAGTGCATCCCTTGTGGTGGGGTGAAGGAGATGGAAATCAGATATCACGCACACGTCGTCGACGCTTCTGGCACAGTACCTGGTATCCATCGTCCTGAGCCCGAGAGCACAAGTAGGCGCTTTCCCATCGTACCGCCCAAGCATCGTCGGTCCCTGTCAGAGGGCTTAAGATGACAGTCCGGGGCTGTATAGAAAGAGTCACAGGTGGATTACATGACCTCAGTACCTATTAACTTATTAAGGCTGAGTAGTAACTAGCTCTGCGTCTTCAAATGTTACATGAACTTCACCGCTATCTTGTCTGTTGTGTTGTGCTCAACAATCGAGACGGGAGTTTTGTATGAAAAATAAGCCTTCGCTGAACCCCTCGACGGTCTCCATCACACATGCGCACTTCTCGCACTCCTCTCGTCTGGGCCTTTTCGGGTTTCCGACGTACATGCAAAGGCTCTCTGGGCACTTGGACGCCTGCTCTCTGCCCTCGCAACTCGCTAGTCTCTTGCGTTTCTGCCATCTCGTCCGGCACCTTGGGCACCAGTAAAGATGGAGTTCGCACATGTTTATAGCATTCGTGTGTGGTGAATACAGGCAAGAGTCAAGGTGGTTCTCGGTTTCAAGTAGGGCTTTTTAAATCAAGAAGGGTTGGTTGGAGATGTCTGCTCTATTCATAACGTTACCCAGCGGTTCGGCATCGTTTTATGAGAATTGGATTGCAAGTTAAAGAGAAGATACTCTGACTGGGACGGGAGAGACTTCTTCGCGTTTCGGTTTGCACTGAGGTGCAAACTCAGGGTCACTAGCCACAGTTTTCATATTGTACAACTTGTGGTTTGCTGAGACATCTTGCTTTGTGGAATACACAACGTGGTTATGACAAACCTTCGCCAGTGGGTGAAGCCCATCACCTTCAATGCATCAGACCTTCACACTTGGCCGTATAGATGAATGAAATGTTTACAACACGAGTATTGCATCCCTCTTACCTTTGCGACCGATGGTCTAGCATGCTGAAGTCTCAGGCGCCGCTCATGCGATTCTTGTTGGATTGTATACTGCTTGGATCGCCATGTCACCGTCTTCCAGTCTCTGATGGATGGGAACTTCCGCCATCTTTGAATTTGAGTTCTATTCGAAATTCATTCCAGGTTGAGGAGCTTGATTCACCTCCTACCTCGCTAGCTGGCCTCGGAAAAGACGAGGAAGATACATACATCCCCATCCAAGGATAACTTTTTTCTCGCAAGCCCACTTTCAGCAGACGCTGCCGGAGTGCTTGTCCGCGATGACTGTACGACTGAGGCAGAAAGAACCCTCATAGGTAAATGATAACAACGACATTGCGTGATGAGGAGTCGATTCAGAGTGGTCGACGAGTCGTACCCTGCAGCCAATCATGGCTGAGTTCATCCCGCCTTGCATACCCGAAATGCAACTCGAAAAGGAAAGGAGATTTTGCCATTTTGAAAGTGAATGAGACTGTGAAGGAAATGCGTGACGAGTACAATAACAATTTTGCAGGCCGTTCAGTGACAGCTTACCACGTCCAATGACCGCGCTACATCGTGGGTGAAAGGACGAGGCTAGAGTCCAGGCCTTTGGATACCATGTTGCTGGGGCATCGCATCACTTGAACCCTTTACATGATCTGATCCTGCGTCAAGCCTGCATGGACATCGGTGTCCATGCTATCACCACCACCTTGAGCGTTGAGGTATCTCACGAAGCTCAGTCCCAATGGCCGGCCACCATATTGGTACCCCTGGAACTTGGCGATTGCAGTCTCCGCGGTTTCTGCAGAATCGAAACGGACTACACCAGTCCCGCGAGAGCGACCGCTCGGCTCGTACTGAATCTCGGCCTGCTCAACCTTTCCGATAGTGGTGAATAGCTCAACGAGATCCTCGTTGCTCGTGGACCAGGGAAGCTACCCAGTGTTAGTGTGGGTTTGCGGGGAACTGGGCAAGTGAACCTACGTTTCGTGTGTAAATGACCTCGCTGCGATCGGTTCCAGCGGTTGCGTAGTCAGTGAATGGGTTAGGAGGCACCGAAGGAGCGTTGCCAGCGTCAAAGCCACCTGGGCCACCGGGACCGCCGGGACCGCCGGGGCCGGGGCCACCGCCGCCGAAACCTCCACGACCGTAGCCGCCACCACCAAAGCCACCACGGCCGCCGCCAAATCCGCCTCGACCGTATCCGCCGCCGAAACCGCCTCGCATGCCACCGCCGAAGCCGCCTCGGCCTCCGAAGCCCATGGGCCCTCCTGCGCCAGCGAATCTATCTTCACGGACTTCAAGAAGACGCCCCTGCCAGTCATAACCGTTGAACTGCTGAATGGCGTTGCGAGCGTCGTCGGGGTTCTCGAATACGACAATTCCCGATCCCTTGGGACGGCCGTCAGGTCCTAGATGAACATCTGCGCGGATGACGACTCCGTTGCGAGCTAGCACATTTGATAATAAGTCTCCAAGTTTCATCGCGAGGGACACCAATGGGTCTGATTGGCGAAGAGGCTTTGGGTGTTCTACTTACCAGCCTGTCGGAACAGGTCCTTGAGGTCTTGCCAGCCCACAGTGTAGGGAAGCTGTGAGCAGTTGCAGTCAGTATCGGGAAGCGTTAGAATCCTACGCCAAGACTAGGGGGAACAAACGTTGGCAACATAAATCTGTCGGCTGCCCCCTCCGGGATTGTAGCCGCCGCCACCGCCGCCGCCGCCGAAACCACCGGGGTTCATCCCACCGCCACCACCACCAAAGCCGCCGCGGTTGGCAGTGGCGCCGATGAAACGGGGTTCAGCTTCGCGATCCTATAAATCCATAGTTAGACAGCATTCGACGAACCACAGGGTACTATTCAAAACGTACCTCTCGAACGTAGACAAGTCGACCCATGAGGTTCTGGTTGCTGAGAGTGGCCACAGCGTTCTGGGCTTGGTCCCGCGTCGCATATTCCACAATTCTGTAATCTCGCCGTCAACATCTATCGCGGTTGAATCCGAGATGGCATGTGAACTTACCCGCATCCCTACATACACCCACGGACACAAGTCCCAACCCGTCAACCCAACGATTCCATCAATAGCCAGAGGGAAGAGTCCACAAAAGAAAAAACCAGCCATAGACTACGTGTAGAAGCCCACCTTCGACATTCCATTTGGAAGTAATAACACGTCGGCGAAGAGAACCTCTCCAGCTATACCATCCCAACTAGTCAGCTTGCGCAACCTGGGCCAAAGTGCCAATGACTGCACTTACCCTGTCGCATGAAGTCCTTGAGATGATGCCACTTCACATCGTAGGAAAGGTTGCCGACGTAGACGCGGCGATCCTGTTGAGACGTTTCCCTAATATTGCTCATCATTTGTTCGCGGGCGGCTGCGCGCTCCTCATACGATCGGTGTGGTGGTGCCCCTCCGTAGCCAGTGCTAGATCCTCCAGACGGAGCGCCGGTTCCAGTCATGGGGGAACGGTCTCTCCTTCCGCGATATTCGTCTCTACTACGGGATCGGCTCCGAGGAGAGAAAGAACGGCGTCTTGATGCGCGGTTGGGACTGCGCGAACGTCCACGTCGAGGCGATCGAGATCTCTCCCTCTGTTGCAGATTAGCGATGAACGTCGCCATTGGCCGAAGCGTATATGTCCAGAGGACTGTGTTGGTGTTTCGCAAGTCACTTGACGTTGGTGAGAAGTGGTTGGCAGCAAGCGTGGTTTGATGGCATCAGGTTGGGTGAGGGGGTGAAATTTGGAGGCAGGGAGATGAACAAGGTAGGTAGATAGGTAGGTCTGTCTGCGAAGCACCGAAGGTACACCCGGAAGGCCAGCCGAACCAGGTCAGGCAGGCGCTGCACCACCTCCGACACTTTCCTCATCCCGAATGACCAGACGGAAACGAGCAAGCGTCGGATGAGTCGCATAGCCACTGAAACTCGAGAAGTGAAGGTGCAGTCGTGATGAAGTGCCTCCTAAGCTATGCCATCTTCTTTGAGACGGCGCGGCACAACTTGCGAGCAAGACGCTGGTGGGAAGGGAGACCGCGGCGGAGGCACAGACACCGGCTCGGGCGGAGAGGAACGGGGGGAATACAGGGACAGGTACCGGCTCGACAATGATTCCGGACGGACGCTTTGAGTTTGGGACAACAGAAGGAACTGGGGTGATCTTACACTCACAGGTCGATAGGTGTCGCCGGAGTCAGCTACAAGAGATTGAGTTAGTTGGAACTGCCGGAAAGCTAGGAGATTCCCAGAGTATATGGGACAAAAAAGCAAGAGTAACACGAGAAGATGGCTAGGGAGATAGGGAGGAGAGGGAGAGAGGAGGAGAGGAGGAGAAGAAGCAAGAGAAGGAGGGTACCGGCGAGGATATTTGGATACCTTACTCGAAAGGTGGGCAGCAGCGAAGAGGGACGAGGGGGGTACGAGGCCAGTCGGTGGAGAAGGAGTAGGAAGGAAATGCAGCTGGCGGACAATACGCAAGGAAGAAATGGTATTCGCTCCGTCTTTCCTGCTCTCTCTTTCTCTTTCTCTCTGTAGAGGAGGGGGTGGGAAAGCGAAGGGGAGGCAGAAGGGAGGGGTGGGTGGGAGAAGGAGGATGTGGCGGGGAGGGGGGAACCATCAAGCCTATGTAAGGCAAGAGAGATATGGGCTGGGCTGAGGCAGGCCGGCGTTCTTCTCACACATGTATGTAAGGCCTGGCATGAATTGATGGATCAACGGATGGGGGGATTGGGATTGAACGGTTGGGTGGATGGAGGGATGTCCGCGTGTGTCCCAAGTCAGGCATGCGCGTGTACGAAGGGTGTACAAAAGGCAGGCAGGCATGAGCGAGCGTACGTATATGTAGGGTAAGGCTGGACAATACTCCGTACTGTCCTGTCCTTACTTGTCCAGGACAGCGGCAGGAGGGAGTGTGTGAGGCGAGCGTAAGGTAAGGTAAGGTAGGGGAGGTGGCAGGAGCTGCTTGGAAGATGCTAGCTGCAGGACCTAGGGGGGTAGAGGGGGGTAGGAAAGTGTTCATGACAGCAATGGACGTGGTTTCTAAGCTGGAGAGGTGTTGCGTCGTTTCGGACCAACATGAGAGATGGAGTCGGCCTGGGCTCCGACTCCCGGACGAGTATGGAGACGAGAATAGAGCTCCAGCTTCAACCCTGTGCCAGAACGGGTCAAGTGAACATGATGGTGTACATCCGGATCGAGAGAGGGCCCATGTAACGAGGTAAAAAGCGAATGGGTAATCATATAAGAGGAGGGGAAGGAAGCAAGTGAAGCCAATGCCATTTGAGCTCAGGGAGGGAAGGTACTTGAGGGCAATGAAGACGCGGTGAAGTTGCAGTCCGGTAGAGGATCAATGCTGGAAGGGGAAGCGGAACGCAGAGTAGGGAGAGTGACCATTCAAGGATAGATGGCAAGCCGCAAGCTACGAGCCGCACGACGACAAGCTGGTGATGAAGGTGGTGGTGCTGGGGGGCAACGAAGGGTAGGCAACAAATTGACGAGAAAATGAGAGATTCGATCACGACTTACCCATGGTGACGGACGACTCGGGCGATGCGGAGAGAGAGAG